AGTTGTGGACAAAGAGGGAATTCTTGACAATTTAAGAACCTATTGATTATTTGCACACTGCCGGTCAGGAAATAAATCCTGTAAAAACACGGTTCAAGGCTTACACTTTTAAAGTGGACACCGGCTGTAAACTTCATAGAGTAAGACTCATTTCCTGCATGGTCAGGATTCGGTGCATCCAGCAAGTGCAGTCTCCCAATCCACTCCACCTCTACCTAGGTGTTTCCTCTGCACTGTTCTCCCCTGAGCAAATGGCTCTGGCTCACTGGGCATCTCCTCCTTGCTTTGCATCCCCCAAGTAATTAACCTCGTAAGCTGCAACATGACAAAGCCTGAACCCAACCGCCAGGCATGTTTGCAGGTCGTGGCACCAGTCCTAATATATGCTGTTAAATGATGCCCTGCCACAGGGTTCTCAGCATGGAATGCTGCCAATTCAGCCTTAATTCATATAATTTAAACTTAGCAGTGTGAATGACTAACTGCAAAGGGGGAAAATAGCAGAGGTATTAAGAAAATAATCTAAGCTGAGTTACAAAATCAAGTTAGATTCCACTTCCTGTGTGATTGAAATCTTCTGCCTTTGAAAAGGTAGATCATCCTTTAACTCCGCCTCAGTGAGCACTGGGAGGGCTCTGGGGCCAGGCAGATGAGGGTGCTTCACAGCCCAGGCAATAATGGACTCAAGGACACCTAGTGGACTGCAATGAGCTTCTCTTTTGCCTGCCATCCTCCTCAATGTCTCCCAAAGGTCAAAACTAGTCTCTCCCAAAATATGTAGCCAGACCTTTCCCTTACATTGAACTCCCGTGGGCTGTCCCAACCTGCCTGACTCTTCCATTGCTTCTCCGCGTGTCTGAGTGGAGCCTGGGCAGCAGCCAGGCTGAATCATGTCCCCTGTGCCCTCCCTCTGCCTCTGATGTCCATCCCTGCAGTCATACCACACATCCTTCTGCCTATTTACTCTTGCTTCTTCTTGGGACAGGACCAGGACTTTCCCATGTAAGTTCCCAAAAAGACTTGTGTGTAGCCACTGGGATGGTTCCCTGCTGCAGTGGACAGAGCCTCCTCTCCCCAGCCAAGGAGTGCAGCAGCCTGTTCATCAACAAAAAGACTGAAGACAGGCCAAGCACTCACATTTCCTACGGAAACATTGACATTTACTAGTTAATCAGATCTACGTTTCTTAGTTCTCTGAACTTCTAGCCTGTGACTCTAGGTATTATCCACCATATTTGTACTTTTAACAGTAATTTCTTCACATAGTAAAAGTGAAATGGGCATCCCCTATGTAAGGAAGTTCCTATGCAAGTTATTTGAAAAAAATAAAACTTGGGGTGCATTCTTGCTTGTAACAGTTTAGTCAACAATCCAGTGCCGAGTACACACACTGGTTGAGAAGTCCGCAGTGGGCATAGAAGCCTCGGCATCCAAGCTGGCACTCAGCTTGAGCTCTGTGTCCACCCCACTGGTAGCTTGCTGCTCTGGGAGCTTGAGTGCCCTGTGCTCAGAGCTCCACAGTTCTCACCTGTACTGCTTGGGTAAAGAGGGCAGACACTGGGAACCTGATTAACAAGACTGATGCACAACATCCCCACTGTGATTCCTGTGCACTGTCTTTCCTTGATGAGGAAAACCCCCCCTTTCCACTTCTGTCCACTCTTCCATCTTCCCAGACAAGAGAGGGGCCTTTTCAGCCCTTCACTGGCCTTGTGCAGCTGAGGTCCAGAGCATCTCCTTCTGTTCTGTCCCACGGTGTGTTTGCCCTCTCTGCATCTGTGAGGTTCCTGACTCTCTGCTCTCTGGTTGACGTTCCCTTCAGTGTGTGGGCTGTATCCATTCCGCACAGTACTGGTGGGAGAAGACAGCCTTTGCATGTTCTCAGTGTTTCCAAATTTCATTGTCGTGACTATCCTTGGTATTAATGGACAGATCTAAATGGAAGAGTTATGTTGACTTTTATTGTTGACCTTGATCTGGCCCTGTGTCCAGACATTCAGAGAGATGGATTTCTCTCTGACCACTCAATGTCCTTGAATCAGAGCATGGGGTCTGTGGGGAATGGGCCCAGGTCTGTTTTCTGCCCTAGTTTTAGTCCTCGTGTCTGCAAAATAAGCTTTCAACAAATATTTGCTGAAGTGAAATAAAATTTTTAAAAATAGCTATTATGCAGAAGTAATTTGATGATCCAAGGAGGTAGAGCTCTGTAGGTAAAAACATCCCTGTAAGGTTGTGAATTGAATTTGGAGTTAGCCCCTATGTGTGCAGAGCTTTCATAGCAGCCCATGAACATTCAGGGAGTGGAATTAAAACAGAATCCATGACCTAATGATCATTTAAGAGTTCTGCTGTATCCATATGCCCAATCCTTTTCACCTATGAAAAGAAGTGAAGCCTAGCGCCAAGGTTTGCTTTGTTCTAGAAGAACAGTAGTGTCTCTGTGAGATTCAAGACAGCAGAAGGGGGCAGGGGCAGTAGTCTGATTTGGACCTGTTAAGTTTGAGTTCTCTCTTGACGTCTGTTGTGGGTTGAGTGACATCACCCAGAAAGTCACATGTTGAAGTCTAAATCTATTGTTCTATAGTGGCTGAGCATCTGGCCTTATTTAGAAATTAGGTCATTGCAGAAATACTTAGTTTAGAAGTGATTGTACTGGAGTAGGTGGGTCTCCAATCAGAAGGAATTGGAGTCTTTATCAAAAGGAAGAATTTGGAGATGTAAGTGCACTCTGGAGAATATCATGTGAAAATGAAGTTGGAGATGGTGGTGATGCTTCTAGAAGCTAACAGACAATACCAGCAAACCACTAGAAGCTTGGGAAGAGGCATGGAAGGATGATGACATCTTGATCCCAGACTCCAGGCTACAGAGCTGTGAGCCCATCTTTCTGTTGTTGAAGATGCCTAGTCTGAGGTGCTTTGTAAAGGCAACCCTGGGAAGCCAGTGCACCATCCTAATGGTGTGAGAATGAGGGATTTGGGAACATGGGCTGGACTGGAGGTAAAAATGGGATTTTCTGATATACAGGTGGTAGTAGAAGCTTTGAGGAAAGAGCAAAGTTCCCAGGTAACAGTGCTGAGCACTGAGCACTGTAGAATTTATCTGGAGAGAAGCAGCATCCCAGCCCCCACTGAGGAGGAGCCGCTGAGACAACAGTGAAACCCAGAGGATACAGGATCTGGCTTGCTAGGTGATCCTGAAAGCCGAGGAGACCTTCAGTAATTCATTTCCAAATTACTAAATGGCTTTGCTATCCTACGGACTGTGCTATTGGAATAGCAACTGTTTCATTATTTTGGCACTAACATTATTGTATATAGCTGCACAAACTTTAAAGTGTTGGTTTTTATATAAACAGGTGTTTAGGATTGCTAACACGTGACTGACTAGTTACAGAGTCCTCAAAACCAATGCGTTTAAAGACCACTTACCTCTTGATAGGCTTTGTGATCACGTGCTTGGAAATACAAACTGTGGAAAATGTGCTCAATGAAAAGTCCCTTGGGGTCCAGGAGCCACTCAGCAGGGGTTCATCTGACAAAAGCAATAGGGGCATGGTCCACATCCATGATGTACCTCCCCAGAAATACTCTGTGCATACTGAGCAGATTCATATTTTGCATACTATCTTTGCTTCAATAAACACAAATGAAAGCATTCTGCATGTGGACCTCAGGTTGTTTTTTTTTTTTTTATTTTTTTTTATTTTGCCTCTTTCTCCACTTTCTACTATTTCTTGGAGCCTTTTCCATATACCCAAGTTATACTCTCCCTGCTTCCTGTATCCATTTCCTGGGTATAACAAATTCATTGAAATATTCCCTCTTGATGGACATGTAGGTTATTCCTGATATTTTGCTTCTATGACCAGTGTTTCATGAGTACCTTTGACATATTCCATTTCTTGTGTGTATAGACAAAACTGTGAGATGAATTTGTAAAAGTGGAACTTCCGGGTGAGCAGATAATGTTACTGGTAATCAGGACTGAGGTCCACAAGCTACTCTTGAGGCCACTGGGCCAGTTCACATCATCACCAGCAAGTGTCTGTTCGTGCATGTGCCTGCTAGAAGTGTGCACTATCAAACATTTTGATCTTTGTTACTCTCCTTTGTGAAAAATCCAATTGCCGCGTAGCTTTCATTTGTAGTTTTCTGATTACAAATTGAGCACATTTCATAGATTGAAGAACCATTTGAATTTTCTGTCTTCTGTTTACATTTTTTCTTCATGTTCCCATTAGTCTGTAGACTTTCTTTACAGGTTAGGAAAATGAGCCTTTTTGTAGGAATTTCAAATGTATTTTTCCTAACTCATACTTTTTGTTTTCACTTAGATGATTTTTGACACTGAAACTTTACTTAAATGATGTCAAATTTATTAATAATTTTTCTTATGGTTTCTGGTTTCTTTCATAGCTGTAACACCCTTTACTTCTGTGGAATTATAAAATAATATAATTCTCATAGGACTTCAACATTTTCACTTTTTGCTTAAAATATTACCTATTTTGTGCTGATGTTGATGTGAATCTAGCATTTTCCCCCAAACTTAGCATTCACTTGTGCCAACATCATTAGCTGAATAAGCTTTATTTTTCACATTCAACATGAGATAATCTCTTTATTATACACAGTATTTCCAAGCATATTTTTATACCTTCTTGAGTACTTGATTATGCTTCGTAGTTCCATTGTAAATCTGACATTAGACCCACATTAGTTTAATTGTCACCATTTTATCCTTATTTTCTGGAAGTGTTAGTGTTCTGTTTTTTCCTTTTTGTTCCAAAAATTTTCTTCAGACTCTTTTTGATATTTGAACAAACTTATCTAATTTCAAAATATCTCCTCCATTTTTTTAAATTTTAATTTTTAAGATTTGTTTGAAAAGCAGATAGAGTGAGAGAAAGGCAAAGGCAGACAGAGAAAGACCTTCTTTTTTTTTTTTTTTTTTTTTTTTTTTTTTTTTTTTGGTTCAGCATCCACATATCTTCAAAAACCAAATTGGGCCAGGTCAAAATCAAGAGCTTGGAATAGAATTCAGTTCTCCTTCAGGATGCATCTAAAATATTTGTTCTTTGTTAATAAAGCACTTTTGTTGTCTTGTCTTGCTTTAGTGCTTTTGATCATGGGTAATAACATACAGTCATCTCTGATTGGTGTGCATCATTCCTGCATAGTTTCTCTAGGTAAGTGCATAACATTTCGTCTAGTTAGTTTAACAAAATATTTGGTGTCATTTCCTCTATTTGAATGTGACATTTGGTGAGCTACAAGGAAATTGTGGCTAATTCAGCATGCCACTTCCTTCCTGGTGGTGATAAAACATGTGCTCCGTATTCTAAAACTTCAATGAAATATTTAACAATATATAAGCTAACTCATTATTGAGAATCAAAGTGTTTCCATAAGACAGTGAAATAAAGAGAAACCAGGACTCAGCTATGGAAAAACCACTAAACCCAGCTGATCCTAATTTCAGTTTGCAAATCGTGATGGGGGCAGGAACAGGCACATGGTTCCACCTGATTGGCTGCACTGGTGGAGGGCAGTTGATGATGGCCAAAGAAGAGAAGAGGAGCCTGGAAGTTTTGGCAAAAACAAAGCAGACGGAACAGGCACTTAAATTAGTGGAATCGTGGAAACCAGCAGGTTCTATGCCTTTTCCTTAGGGAACTGATTAAGCGTTTGAGAAATTTGGTCTGAATATAGGAAAAAATCACTTGCTATTGTCTATAATAAAACAGAAGTAAAATACTTTGAATAATTTGTTCAAGTTCAAAGTAAAGGCCAGGGTGCCTGGTGTCAGGTGTATTATTCTTTTGGTGAATTCTGATCCTGCCAATTCAGCTTTATGTTGTGGCCTGAAAGTGATCACAATTGAATATATCTTTCATATTTGTGCCCTTAACAATATACTATAGATACTTGGGAGAAGTTGAAACAGAAGGTATGGAAATTATAACATTTTTAATGGATCTGCTTCCTTAAAACAAGGAATTACAGTGCATTAAACCCTCAATAGGGGCCAGCACTGTGGCTTAGCCAGTGAAGCCGTCACCTGCAGTGCTGGCATCCCCTATGGGCGCTGGTTCGAGTCTCAGCTGCTCCACTTCCGATCCAGATCTCTGCTATGTCCTGGAAAAGCAGTAGAAGATGGCTCAGGTCCTTGGGCCCCTGCATCCATGTGGGAGACCCAGAGGAGCCTCCTGACTCCTGGCTTCGGATTGGCCCAGTTCCAGACATTGGGACCATCTGGGAAGTGAACCAGCAGATGGAAGACTTTCTGTCTCCGCCTCTGCCCTTCAGTAACTCTGTCTTTCAAATAAATAAATACATCTTTTAAAAAAATTTAAAAAACCCTCAATAGCTCATTGACATATAATAAGACACCTCAACTTAATATTTATGAGGGGAAAAGATCTCTTTTATTCTTTTTTCTTTTGTTTTTTAGAAAAAGCACAGATAGCATGCTTCTCATAGTAGTAAATTTAAATTGCTAACATGTTTAAAATTGTTACAAACTATGTCTATGAGGACTGGGTTTCAGGATGAAAGTCGTGCTGTTTTCATAAAATGACTCTGGCACTATTTTCTTGTTTTCTATTTTTAGGAAAAAAATTGTGCGGAAATGGATGCGACTTCTCTCTTGGGCGTTTGGAGTTGCTAGAGAGTGGAGAGGCCATGTGGCCTCGAGGAGCTCACGGGCAGGACTGCCCCATCTCTGGGAGCCTTTGTTTGTACCTCTGCATTGTGATCTCACATGCACTCAACTTCCAGGCTTCTTCCGAAGATAACAAGGTCCTCTGGCTTTTCCTGACTTGTGTAGGCATGCACAATCCATGTACGTATGGCCCAAATATCTTCAGGAGCCCCAGCGCTGGGTTAAATAAGGCAAGCTAGTAGGGAAGAGTAAATAGTCACAATCAGGAAGAGGAATCTAAATGTGAGGGTGGACATGCATCCCCAGGAGATAAATGGGAGGGAGAATGAAAGTTCTTGTACTGCTGACTCCACTGCACTCACAACCTCCTAGGCTGGAAGCAGGAAGCTGCCCCTGCTTCCATAGGCAAACACTTGTGACCCAGGGGGCCTCATTGGAGGGTGCACTTGAGGATGCTCAGATTGAACGCCCTTTTTTTTTATGGAAAGAGCTTTTTAAATTACAAAAGTAGGGACTTCCATGGTGGGGCAGTGGGTTAAGGTGCTGCTTGCCTTGCTGGCATCCCTTTTATTGAGCTCCAGTTCCATTCCTGGTACATGAGTCCCAATCCAGTTCCCTGCTGAAGCATCTGCTAAAGGCAGCAAAGCATGGCCCAAGTATTTGGGCTTCTGCTACCCACTTGGGAGATTTTGATGCTCCTGGCTTTGGGCTGGCCCAGCCCCAGCTGTTGTGGCCATTTGAGGAGTGAACCAGTGAATGGAAGATCTCTCTCTCTCTCTGACTCTCCTTCTCCCTCTGTTAATTTGCCTTTCAAATAAATAAGTAAATAAATAAATCTTTAAAAATAAATCACAAAAATAAAGGAGGGGTAAAGAAGAGTCTGACGCAGTCAACCGCAGGTGGCTTTCTTTCTGTGTTCCCGGAAACCACAGATAACTTCTGTTTGTCAAGAAGTCTTGAGTCAGCACTCCCTTGACCTCACCTGCTAAGAGGGCGCCCCTCAGTTGATAGCACAGGAAGCTGGGGTTGCCCCATCTTGATCCTCTCAGCCTCCCCCAGGCTCTCTGCATGACTGCCTGTGCCTGAGTGAGGCAACTGAAGGGTGGCCACACCCTGGAGGACCCTCAACGTGTGAGAAAACAGGGCCTGTGTGTGGATACTCAGCTCCCTTGCCTCTCTGAGGGTCTGCAGAGTGTCGAGTCCAGTGGCCCGTGGAGTCACTGTGCATTGATTCTTATTTTGAATTCCCCAATTCTCTGCTCTTGGGAATACATCCCAGGTAAACTATAGGCATCTAAGCCCTTGTCTCAGGGTGTGATTCTGGGGGACTCCAAGCTAAGACGGGGCACTCAACAGGCTGTCAGCAGCCACCAGCCATGGGGACAGTGCCATCTTTCATACCAGGCACAAGGGAGAGCTCTGTTGTAACCGCCTGCTCCATGCTTCCTATTTTCTTTTTGCTTCTTAGCAACTTGGAAAGAGGTTGATTGACTCGGGGGAAGCACTGGTACTCTGCTAAAGGATGTTTGGATTGCGTTTAGATTTAATTTTAGTTTGAGTGCTCCATCTTTAAACAAAATGGCAGCTGAAAATTTTCCAAATGGATTGTTTTCAATAATTTGTAAACGGCACTTTGCAAACACATTTTGCAAAGGAATTTGCTGCCTCGCCAGAGGTCTCTTGGGTTGCTCTGGATGATACACAGTTCGCTGAGCCACGATATCATACGGGGTCCATAAAATCGAAGGCCCCACAAGTTCCCATGCAAATAACCATCAGTCTCTCCCCTCTGGCCATGATCTGGTAGAAAGTAAGTGCTCCAAAAAGGCAGTGCTGGGTAAAGAGGCAGAGGAGAGTGTCATCATTCATTCATCCAGTCAGTCCTTTATTCATAAACTATTTATTGGACACGAAGCGTATTCAAGGAATTTGTTGACACAAATTGTGGGGAAGAGATTTTGTGACACAATTTTGAGGACTCAGCTGGTTGAACTAATGTTTTTTCTGTTTCGCTTCTCATGTGTTCTGACCCACTTGTAAGTCAGCTCAGCAATTGGTCTTGGGAGCAGAGAAAGGAGGAGGGGCCGGCTAAGCCCATAAGTTGGGGAAAGACTACGAAGCAGTGAGCTGTTTGGCCTCTGAGTAGACCTCTGGTGTGAGTCGAAGGTGTGTGTATTCCACTTCCTTCTAGAAGTTTCCTTATGTGTGTGTTTGGGGAGGAGATAGGTGTGATAAGGGGCCACCGCAAAGAAGCCTTCGTGTCTGTGTGGGTGTGATCTGAGGCCAGGGGATCCAAGCCCAGGGCATCTAACCCCTGGCCTGACTCGACTCTACGTATGCTGTGATTCCTTCACATGAGGCCATTCATGGCAGCCCTAAGAGCCTTCTGGGTGGAGTGAGGCCCAGACAGGCTTCCTTGTAGGATGGGATGCTGAAAACCACAGCCTGGCTTCTGCTCCACCTCAAATGAGAATACTGACCCTCGTGGTACCTGTTCTGTGGGCTCGTCCAACTCAATTCTGCTGCTTTCTTTTTTATTCGGCCATTATTCTTCCATTACTCATCCTTAAAAATACTGTGTAACATAATTTCATATGCCGCTTTGTAAGTAGTGTTTGAATTAGTGGATTCAAGTAGCATTTAAGGAAGTTTTAAATTCCAGAACATCTAGTGTACTAGTAAATGGCTTTGAACTATAGCAGAAGAGATTGAAGTTAGGCATTAAGAAGAATGTACTGGCTATGAAGACGGTTCAATAGCCAGCCAAGGAGTGTTGTGAAAGTGCTCTCTGGATCTTTTATGGCCATGGTGTCTCTGAAGCCATTTGCTTAGGGCCCTGTTTGTAGAGAGAAGAGTATTTTTTTCTCTTAGAGTCTGAATTCACTGAGTTTCTTTCCTCTGTGACCAAAAATGAGTAGCTCCTGGCTCTCTTAGGGGGAAGGGGAAAGCTCCTGCACCCTATTCTTGCAGATACATATCACAAGGAAGCCAGGGCTTCACCTAAGGTTGCATTTGTAAAACACAGGAAGGTGCTTACTTAGATAATAAAGCAAAGCCCAGGGGCCAGCGGTGCTGTGTAGCAGGTTAAGCCTCTGCTTGCAAAGCCGGCATCTTGTATTGGAACGCTTGTTGCAGTCCCAGCTGCTCCACTTCTCATGCAGCTCCCTGCTAATGCACCTGGGAAAGCAGCAGAAGATGGCCCCTGTGCTTGGGCCACTGTCATCCATGTAGCAGACCAGCATGGAGTTCCTGGCTCCTGGCTTCAGCATGTTCCAGACCTGGCCATTAAAGCCATTTGGGGAATAAACTAAGGGATAGAAGATCTCTCTCTCTCTCTCTCTCTCTCTCTCTCTCTCTGTATGTGTGTGTTTGTGTGTGTATATATGCATATACACATATACATACATATACACACATGTTTTATATATGTATGTATATATACAGACGTATATGTACATGTGTGTGTGTGTGTGTGTGTGTGCATATATATACACAATCTTTACAAAGTAAAAAGAGGGGCCGGCATTGTGACACTGTGACACAGTGGGTAAAGCTACCACCTGAGATGCCCTCATCCCACATGGCACCAGTTTGGGTCCTGCCTACTCCATTTCAGATCCAGTTCCCTGTTAATAATGTACCTGGCAAAGCAGCACAGGATGCCCCGAGTGTTTGGACCCTTGCCACCCACATGGGAGACCCTAATGAAGCTCCTGGCTCCTGGTTTTGTCCTGACCTGGCCCCTGCTGCTGTGACCATGAAATGGTGAATGGAGGATTTCTCTCTTTCTCTGTGTGTGTCTCTCCTCTCTCTGTAACTCTGCCTTTCAAATAAATAAAAGAAATCTTTAAAAAAACTAAAAGAGGCTGGCCTTGTGGCCTAGCGGGTAAAGATGCTGCCTGAAATGCCAGCATCCCATATGGGTGCCAGTTCGTGTCCTCGCTGCTCCACTTCTAGCTCCCTGCTAATGGCCTTGGAGAAGCAGCAGGAGATGGACTAAGTGCTTGGGTCCCTGCTACCCGTGTGGGAGACTTGGAAGAAGCCCCTGGCCCCTGGTTTTGGCCTGGCCCAGACCGAGCCACTGTGGGCCTCAAGGGAGTTAACCAGTGGATGAGATCTCTCTCTCTCTCTCTCTCTTTCAGACTTTCAAAAATAATAATAAAATAATGGCAAGCCCAGTCTGTCTTTGCCAAGGGGCTTGGAACTCACTTTGGATGGGGAGGGGCCAGCCCCCCCCCCCAATTGCCTTTGCGAATCCATGTTCTCTGTTGTCCTTATTCTTGCCCTGTATCGGCCTCACTGGGGCCAAGACTCAGCCCCACTATGGCCCAGGGCAGCCACGTATCAGTCATGCAGTAACCCATTTTCTGTGCCCACCCCAGTTCTGGGGACCAGCAGTCTGTTCTCAGGCTGCAAGGCTCAGTGCAGTGTTGCTTGCTTCTGCAGCTGGGAAACAAGACGGAGGGAGCTGTCACCTTCTTGAGAGCTGCCAGCTGCAGGCAGTCACAGGGAGAGAACCATGGAAAGTCTGCATTCATAAGTACTCGTTGGCCAGGGAGCAGCTCAAGTCCACAGTCGCACGGCCTCCTGCACCCCACAGAGGGCCAGACGCTTAATCCCATAGGGAAAAGCTTAAAATAATGAAGAACAACTGTACTGATAATCAGCCTCTCTCAATCTCTCTCTCTGACTACAGCAATGGTTAAAATCACTGGGTCCTAAAGGCAGTGTTGTGGAGCAGTGGGTTAAGGTGCTGCTTCATTGGCATCCAAAATTGGAGAGACAGTTCAAGTCCCAGCTGCTCTGCTTCCAAGCCAGCACTCTTCTAATGTGCCTGGGAAAGCAGGGTAAAATGGCCCAAGTTCCTGGGCCCCTGCCACCCACATGGAAGACTTGATGGAGCTTCAGACTCCTGGGTTCAGCCTGACCCAGCCCTGACCTTTGCAGGCATCTGGAAAGTGAACCAGTGCATGTAAGATCTCTCTCCTCTCTCTCGTTCTTGCTCTCTCTCTGTCATTCTGCCTTTCAAACAATAGAATAACTCTTGAGAAGAAGATCGTCTGTATAGACCTACATGGCTTCAGAAAAGACAATAAGTATTTGTTGATATTGTAGAAGCTGAGAACCCGTAAGATTTATTTTAAGAACCAGATATCATTTAAAATGTCAGTTTGACATGAACAGCATAGATAAGAATGTTACATCTTTTATTCTTCTATATTTTCTCTTTGAAAATCAGTAAGAAAACCTTACAGTTCTAAGGATAAGCACTATTTTGGCTTTCACTGATTTAATAAAATCACTTGATGCCTTTTTTAGTGCTAAGGGAGACAGTATGCCAGGAAGTGATAATTAACTGAACCACGAGATACAAAGGAAAGAATAGACACTTGTTCTAATCAAATGTTACGCAAATCTCTACTGCGTGATGTCCACCAGGCAGGCATGATGTGTCTTGTTGAGTTGGTACAAGGATCAGGCTGTGGTTCACTGGAGAATGCTGCCATATCTATATTCTGAAAAATGACAAGTATTCTAAAGGTTTCGCTCCTGGGCTGTGGGAGTAGCATTGGTATTGTTAAAGCCTCGGCAGAGCAAGTCCCTACTTACCTAAGTATGACTTATCAAATATAAAAATACTGTTGTGTATTTAGCTGGTGGTTTAAACCTCTGCATGTATGTGTGATTGCATAGTCTGTGTTATCCCTTGCGATGTTGCATCTTTGCTGGATTGGACGCCATTCTCATCATTCTTTTCAATGATCTAAGAAGATGAGACATCCAGCATTACTCTCATTTGTTTTTTAAAGTCATTAGTATAGACCTAAGTTCCCTCAATTGGCAATATGTGAGAGGCCTTAATTTTTTTAACCTTCCTCAGGGATCAGACCACTACAAAACTGTCTCCAAGATTCAGTATAGTTTTCCCTCTCTGATTCAAGACATAAAGGGAACACAGACTCTTTTGTCTAATTCAGTTAAACAAGCATTATTCTGTACATCAGCTGTAGACCCTGTATTCACTGTTGAGGAAAGTCCAAATTATAGTTCCTGTCCACAAAGAGCTTTATATATCTTGGGAGAGATAAGATTTATAGGTAACTCTTTAGGAAAGATGGAACATATTTAAGTTAACATTAAAAGAGTTGGGCATTCTGAGGCTTTGCAAATAAAGGATAAGATCTAGAAGAGGCTGGACTGGTTGGAATAACACATGTGTCTTCTGAGCATTTGTAACTCACTTCTTGTCTATGTGTTGGACAGTCAGGTTTCAGGGCACAACTGTAAAACTAGCCTTGGAAGATATTCTCATACCTATCTTTTTTTTTTTTTTTTTTTTGACAGGCAGAGTGGACAGTGAGAGAGAGAGACAGAGAGAAAGGGCTTCCTTTGCCGTTGGTTCAGCCTCCAATGGCCGCCGCGGCCAGTGCGCGGCGGCCGGTGCACCGCACTGATCCGATGGCAGGAGCCAGGTACTTATCTTGGTCTCCCATGGGGTGCAGGGCCCAAGTACTTGGGCCATCCCCCACTGCCTTCCCTGGCCAAAGCAGAGAGCTGGCCTGGAAGAGGGACAACCGGGACAGAATCCGGCACCCCGACCTGGACTAGAACCCAGTGTGCTGGCGCCGCAGGCGGAGGATTAGCCTATTGAGCCGTGAGATCTGAGTTTTCATGACAATCTCAGGCTATTAAGATAATTTTTTAAATTTTCATGTTCGGCATGTTATATAAATTACTTGTTTTGTGTAACTGTATTTCCACAAAGTAATTGTTTTATATCAATTGCACTCTCACTCACGAACTCCTAACCTGAGAATAGGCAAAAGGGCCTAAATTAGGCCCTAAATTAGGGCCTAAAATGGCTTTAGTAAGCCAACTTTGTTTTGTAAAATCAAGTCTATGTTTTCCTTCTTGAAAAAAATTTTTTTAACATGTAGTCTGAGATTTCCTAATTATAATCGAATCAGACTAAAGGATCCCAGAAAATGTGATCTAAACAAGACAGTCTTTCGGGCCAGACCCTCTTGATGTGGGAGTTGTAGCTCCAACCTGGCTGCACATGAGCCAGTGATGTCATGACAGGATGTTCTGAACAGATCCCCACATCCTTTGCCATTGCGGTTATAAAGCGTTTGTTTCAGAAAATTGTGCATTGTTCCTAACAATCCCTTTCCAAAATATCTTTTAGTGTTTGGCATGCAGTTATTATTGACTTGGGAACCTAATGGGAAAGTTGTAACTGACCCAGGTGGCGTCTCAAACAGAATGATGTGTACCACTGCAGCATCGAACTCGAAGAAGACGTCAGAAGACAAAACACCATCCATGTTGACCAAAGCTTAAAATCCAAGGCCTGGGGCCTCCTTCCAAAGGACTCTCAGCAACCCGGGACAATAGCTGCGATAACCAACCTGGAGTAAGAACAGCTCCTGGCCTCGAGCAGGGCCTCGTCCATTAACACAGCTAGCTCATCACTCGGATAGTTACATTTTAAGTCCATCTCACAGAACTTAATGTCTCCATTGCTGGACATAGCACATTTTCCCTGTGTTAGCTGTGGAACTTTAGCAAGTTACCTAGCCCATATATACCTTGGTATTCTTATCTGAAAAACAGGTAAAATATTAGCATCTACTTGATATGACGGAGAGTAAAGTATAATACTCACTAAGGGCTAGTTTTAATAGTTTAATTAATTCATTACCTAATAATTAATTGATTTGAAACATAGAGAACACAAGAATACACACACACACACACACACATACATCCACACACACACACACACACACAGAATGAACTCTCATCTGCTGGTTCACTCCTCAAATGCCTGCAATTGCTGGGGCTGGACCAGGGCTAAAATCAGGAGCCAAGAATGAAATCCAAGTCTCCCATGTGGGTGGCAGGGACCGAAGTACTTGAGTCATACCTGCTTCTTCCCAGGTTGGGCATTCACAGGAAGCTGGAATAGGAAGCATAGTCGGAGTTTGAACCGAGACACTCTGATATGGGATACAGGTGTCTCAAGTGGCACCTTAACCACTAGATCAAATGCCAGTCCTTTAATATGATCTGTGTTATTATTCTAAGAAGAAATATTGCCCTGTGATAACTCATACCAGGTTGTAAGTATATTCAATAAACTCACATGAATACATTTAATTACAGCCTTCTCCGTCTGGTTTGTTCTGCCAGTCTTTAGATCCTGTAATGGATAATACTGCAGTTCAAACATGCATTTATGTTTAAAAAAAGAACTCACACTGATAGTACAGCCTAAAATAGCTTACATATTATTGTTGTATTTTGCTTGATTTAATAATCAGATTTCCACACTATACTTAAAAGTCCTATGAGCTGTCACTCTGAAATGTTGTTGCTGAGTCAGATGCAATTCGGAGATTTGCCCATGAACTAATCTGAAATGTACCTGAGTTAAAGATAAGGCATTCTAGTTGGAACTAATACTAAATTCACACATATAGTTGAATTAATGTGAAATTTAATTGGAGAGTTTAAAGATAAGATAAAAATGAACATGAAAACTTTGAAATTATTTTTGTTTCCTTTTCACCTTCTGCAGCTGTGTAAGATCTAGATTAATTTCTTGATACATAAACAATCATAAATCTTTGAGGTAATGGAAATTGCAAAATAAAAGTGAGAAGCAAGAGGTGAGGCGTGTGGTCAAAGATAGCAGCCTGCGCCCAGGCTTTTCAATTTTTTTTAAAGATTTATTTTATTTATTTGAAAAGCAGAGTTACAGAAGACAGAGAGGTCTTCTATCTGCTAGTTCACTCCCCAGATGGTTGCAATGGCTGGAGCTGCACCAATCCGAAGCCAGGAGCCAAGAACTTCTTCCAGGTCTCCCACATGGGTGCAGGTGCCCAAGGACTTGGGGCCATCTTCTACCTCTTTCCCAGGCCATAGCAGAGCTGGATTGGAAATGGAGCAGCCGGGACTCGAACTGGTGCCCATATGAGATGCTGGCACTACAGGTGGCAGCTTTACCCACTATGCCACAGAGCCGGCCCCCGGGCTTGGGCTATTACTCAAGCTCTCCGAAGAGGCTAAGTGGACAGCTGAAGAGGGCACTAGCTCCTTAGCTTATCTATGCCCTCTTTATCTGAAAAGAAGATAAAATAATAGCATCTACCTGATAGACAGTACAGGATAATACTTCATAAGGGCTAGTTTCAGTATTTTTAATTCATTTGCTCATTCATTTGAAAACTGGAGAGATGGGGAGAGAAACAGACACCAAGACAGAGCTTCCATCTGCTGGTTCTCTCCACAAATGTCCATAGCTTCTGGGGCTGGGAGCAGCTGTCAAGGTTGAGAGCAGGAAATACAATCTGGGTCGCCCATGTGGATGACAGGAATCCAAGTAATTGAGCCATCACCTGCTGCCTCCACAGGGTGTTCATCAGCAGGAAGCTGGAATGGGGAGCAGGGTTGGGATTGGCCCCTCAAAGTTTGATTTGGGATGCAGATGTGCAGGGCAAGGCATGGGGCATGAGGTGGATAAGTTCACCAGTGAGCAACAGGTCTCAGTACATTCCCATGACAGAAAGAGGACAGAGATAACAGGAAGGCAGAACAGCCTCACCATAGCCTCCCAGGGGCCAGAGAATGACCTTCTTGGAAGGACCTGCATCTCCAAAGCCCCGGCTGCAGGGATTGGAGGCCCAGAAGTCAAGATTCCTGCGCTTGCTGCCACTGCCTGGCTCTTGAAAGGGAAAACACTGCTTTTGAGACCCCTGCCATTGTGTTTGCATTTATGTAAATGTATGTATATGTGCATGTGGGCATACAGACAGGAAATTCCCCAATGTTTTCACTTTATGATGGTGCAAAAAGGAAATGCCTTTGGTAGAAACCATACTTGGAATTTGAGTTTGGCTCCCTTCTGGGGCTGGCACTGTGTGGTCCAATCCTCTCTTGCAATGCTGGGCAGCAGCAGGGAGCATAGAGTCCAATGAGCCCTGTGGTCACAAGGGGACTTGCTCTTCAAGGCATTCTATTGTAGAGCTAGGATGTGCTCAACACACCCTAGATGGAGTTAGATAGAGTCAGTGTTCTTTCTTTCTTTTTTTTTTTAAGATGTGTTTATTTATTTGCCAGTGGAGCTATATATCAAGAGAGAAAGATAGAGAGACACCTTCCATCCATTGGTTCACTTCCCAAATGATCATAACAGCCAGGACTGGGCCAGACTGAAGCCAATAACAGGAGCTCTAAACAGGTCTCTCATTTGAGTGGCAGGAGCCCAAGTATTCGGGCTATCTTCTGCTACTTTTCCAGGACCATTAACAGGGAGCTGGATCAGAAGAGGAGTCAGGGCTCTAACTGATGGTCTGATATGGAATACTAGAGTTACAGGTGGAGGCTTAAACGGCTGGCCCCCACTATGTCTAGCTTTGGTGGGAGAAAACTTTCAGAAACTACTGAGAGAGAAAAATACATAGGGTGGTGTTTCACATTAGGACATGAATCAAGTATCTGGGCTGAATAGGTATTTTTTAAAAATATGTACATTTAAAATCTGCATTGTATTTTGTCTGCATTCTTTCCTTGGAAGTCAGTTGAGGGCAAAATTAAGCAAAATAAAAAAGTAAAACAAAGGAACAGGAAGATAGGATATCCAGGAAAGAGCAAATGCAGCCCAAGAGCACAGTGGAGTGACCTGTGGAAGGAACTGAGCTTCAGGCTTTCAAAGCATCTTGTAGGACTGGAGTTGGGAGATGGTGGCTTTGCAGGGGGAATTTCCTGGGTAAAATAGGATGGATTGAGCTTAGAAAAACATGCAGCTGTCATGAAAGCAAGTGATCCAAGTGAAAAGATAGAACTGTGCATAAAGAAAGCCTGTATGAGAAAGCTGTTGCTGGAATATGGAGTGAATCAAAGTGTGGAATGTTCAAGAAAGTAACAGTGTCTTAGAAGACGGAATTCATTTGATCTTGAACAGAAACAGTATAATGTGAGTGGCCCAGATGTTGAGATCCTAGATTCAGAGAAAGAAAAAAATAATGTCTGGTCTCTGAGCAGTATGTACACACTCATGTGGCTCTCAATGCTGTTTATTGGTTTCTCAGTCTTTTGGGTCAGCCTGTGGAAAAAAAAAGTAAAGCATAAATTGCAATTCAGACCTGATATTGAAGGAAAATGTAGAGCAGACACAGGAGGAGGCAGAGCAGTGACATTCACATGCATTCTCATCCTAAAGTGTGGGAGGGAAGTCAAGAAATACAGCCTAGAGTTGACAAGGAAAGGAAATAGACATGTAAAGACAGAGGATCAGTAGAACCAACATACTCATATACATGTCAAATTTGAGAATAAGGATGTGGGAGCTTAAATGAGCCTAATTCTCATGTCTTACAAAAAAGTCAATAAATATTATCTAACACTGTAAATCAACATGTAGAGGAATGCATATATTATCTGGATTTGTGGAGGCAGCCACCATGAGAAATAAGACAAAATAACAACAACAGGAAGCATTTAAAATAGTTGACCTTAAGGATGTGGCTGGGTTGAGGAGAGAAGGGTCAACAGGAGTCTGTTATGTTTCTTTATAAAGTTTTTTATATACTATTTAATTTGTTGTATTAGTGCTTATGGTTTAGATAGGGTTTGAGTGCGTCCCCAGGTTTGATATGGTGGAAGCTTGTCCCTAGTTTGACAATGCTGAGAGGTGATGTGGCCCTTTAAGAGGTGGAGCCTTGGTTTAGTGGCCATGCCACCCTCAGAAGGGACTGTGGGACTCCAACCTCGGGTATCCTGCTTTCTGTTTGGAGACGTGATCACTTTATCCCACATGGACTCCTATGGTCTGGATACTACCTGCTGTTAGGTCCTCACCAGAGCCAAGCCGTGCTGCTGTACCAGGTCCCTGATGCTCTTGACCTTGAAGCTAAATAAGCCTCTTTCCTTCATAAAGTTCCCCAGCCTCAGGTGTTTCATTATGTTGTGAAACAATGGACTAATACCAAGGCCAGGTATTACTTTTATGGTAATTAAAAGATGTCATTTAACATTTGTCAGGGAAGGTCACACAAGTGGCTGTTATGTATAGTATAAAAAGTTGCCCACTGTCACTGATTACCAGGAAAATGTAAATCAAAACCACAGTGAGATATCTCCTCACACCTGTAAGAATGTCTATTCGCAGAAAAACGAAAGTCAACAAGTGTCGGTGAGGACCTGCAGGAAGGTCAACCCTTTAACAGCATTAGTGGGAATGTAAAATGGCGCAACCATTATTAGGAACACAAAGATTAAAAACAGAACTCCCCTATGAGCCAGCAATCCCACTTCTGGGTACATGTCTTCAAAGGAAATGAAATCCGAATGTGGAAGAGACATCTGCATTCCCATGTTGGTTGCTGTACTACTTATAATAACAATCATGATATGGAAACAACCTAAGTGTCTGTTGATGGATGAATGGATAAGGAAAATGTTATATATATGTGGTGCAATATGATTTAGCCATGAAAGAAGAAAATCCTGCCTTTGTGACAGCATGCATGAATCTCAAAGGTATCCTGCTTAGTGAAATGGGCCACGAGTACTGCATGATGGTACTTAGGTGTGGAATCTGGAAGTCAAACACACAGGGGCAATGAAGGGAGTGGTGGTTGCCAGGGGCTGGGGGAGGAGGACTTGGTACTTGTACAAAGACTCTGCTAATATGATAAACAAGTTCTGGAGGACTGATGTACAACACACTGACTACATTTAATAATGGGCCATTGTATACATACTTGACATTTGTTAAGAGAGTAGATTTATTGTTTAAAGATTTATTTTATTCATTTGAAAGACAGAGTTATAGAGAGGTAGAGACAGAAAGGTCTTCCATCTGCTGGTTCACTCCTCAGATGGCTGCAGTGGTTGGAGCTGCGCTGATCCCAAGCCAGGAGCCAGGAGCTTCATCCGGGTCTCCCACAAGGGGGCAAGGGCCTAAGAACTTGGGCCATCTTCTACTGCTATCCCAGGCCATAGCAGAGAGCTGGATCAGAAGAGGAGCAGCCAGGTTTCAGGCCAGGGCTTTAACTCGATGCGCCACAGCGCTGGCCCCAGGAGAGTAGACAGATCTTAAGTGTTCTCAGCACATACACACAGGTGCTAACTGTGTAGCATGATGGATATGTTAATTAGTTCCAGTGTGGTAATTTCACATGTATGTATTTCCAAATATGCTCTGAACTTAAATATATAAAATTTTTATTTGTCAATTATACTTCAATAAAAATGGAGAAGAAAAAGGTCATGGATCAGACTCATGGGTTCAGATGCTATCTCCACCATCTACCAGCTGGGTGTCTTCAGGCAGGTGATATAACCTCTCTGTCTCTCCACTTTACCATCTAAAAAAAGGGCTAGTAATTACCAATTCACATACTTTTTGGTATCTCACATAGGCAAGGCCCTGATGCTGCTCAGGGCTTAACACAGAGTGTTGCTCTTTTAAATTAGATTTTCAAAAGGATTTTTATTTGCTTTTTATTTTATTTGCAAGGCAGAGAGACTGAGAGAGACCTTCCACTTTCTGGTTCAACCCCAAAATGCCCACAACATCCAGGGCTGGGATGTATCCAAGAGCTTGGAACTCTATCTGGGGCTCCCACATGGGAGGCAGGGAGCCAAATACAGGAGCCGTCACTTGCTACCTCCCAGGGTGCGCATTAGCAGGAAGCTGGATCAGAAGTGGAGTAGCTAAGACTTGAACCGGGTCGACATAGGGGATGCAGGTGTCCCAGGCAGAAATATAACTGCTGTACCAAATACTCAGTTGTCAATTAGCTGTTGAATTATTATTTTCCAAGTCCCCACTTTCTCAGTAGGCTTGGTCTACTAGAGACTGGACTTCCAGGGACTATTTTTGCACTCACTGTCACCTTAGCACAGCCATCTTCTCTGATCCCTGGCAGCAAGGGAGGGAGGGAGAGATTGAAATTGATGATGGGCATGACTATGTGGGAGGATCTTATAGGGAGACTGTGCATGCATGTGGGAATGAATGTGAATGTACAAAGAGGTGGTCCGTGGTCACGGAGGACTCTATGTGCACAGGTGAACGTGTAGCTGGTGTGGGAGAGTCTAACGGTTGTGCACGTGTAAGGGTGGAGGTGGGTCTGTACAGCCTCTGAGAACGTGTGTGTGGATGCTTATGATCATCGGGATGTCAGGGTGTGTGGGGGAGTGAGGGAGGGTACAGGGATGTTCATATGTAGCCAGTTTGTATGTTCTGCATGTGAATGGCGAGTATGCACATAGGGTTGGGCATGCATGTTCACACAGCCCATCCCTACTGCAGCTCATACCCCTTGGCGGGTGGAGGTGCAATGGCTCACCCCAGCACACATCTGTTCGAATGTCCCCACACAAACTGCTGAATTGATGAGTCCATTCCTACATTCATGGGCTCATGGGTTATTGAAGGGGCGGTTTTGTTGTAAAGGCGAACTCTCCTTGACTTGCTGGCTCTGCCTCACCCTGTGACACCCTCTTGTCCTCATCAGGACACTGCAGTGTCCCCTCCTGTATGAAAGCCCTCGCCAGAAGCAGTCTTCAGAACTGCCTTCTCTTTGCAAACTGCATGGTCTATAATATTCAGTTACAGCAACAGAAAGAGGACCGAAGCCCCCAGAACTGGGCGCGGGGTGGGGACAGTACTTCCAACTCTGCAGCAGAGCTGATGCTTTTCTCTCCTTACAACTTTTGAATTTCCTGAAGGAAAGCTGCTAACCAGCCAGGCACAGCCGGAAACCAGCCCTGACTGAAATACAAGAAACTGAACCCACTGGGTATGGCCTGGGTAAAATGATTTAACCCCTCGGGACCTCAGTATTTCCACCTGTGACGTGGACATGAGAATATTACTACCCTGCAGGGTTACTGCGGACAGAGCAAGGCTTGGTACATGAAGACTCAGTGGCTGTTGTTCCTACCATTCCAACGGGGAGCTCCAACTTGATGTTAAGTCGGCTAATGGGAAACTACCGTGTTTTTAAACAGGTTTTATTTTTCAGAACAGTTCTACCTTCACAGCTAAACTGAACACAAGTTATAGAGTTCCGCTACATAGTAACAGCTTCCCAAGCTATCAACACCTGCCCACCATAGAGGGGGACATTTGGTACAACTGATGAACCTCCACTGGCATGCCATTTTCTCCTGGAGTCCACTGCTTGCCTTAGGGTCCATTCCTGGTGGTGTACATCCTGTAGGTTTAGACAGATGCAGGACACACAGCCACACTTGCTGTGTCACACAAAGCATTTCCACTGCCTTGGAAAGTCTCTGTTTCGCCTTCTCTTCCCTCCCTCCACCTAACCCCAGCCCCTACAGAACCTTTACTCTATAGCTTGTCTTTCCTGCAGCATTGTGCATCTGTAAATTGTAATCATACAGTATATAGCCTTTCCAGATTGGCTTTTTCCACTTAGTGATATGCATTTAAGGTTCTTCCAAGTCTTCGTGCTTCATAGCTCTAGCTCATGTCTTTTTAATAATCCCATCAAGATGGCCCTGCTAACCTTCTGATAGTCCACTCCCCATGACTCACCACAGGGCATCTGGGGACCAAGCTTATGTCCTTGCTAATAGGAGGTAAGAGCAGGTGCTGACCATGCCCAGCCACTAACCACCTCCTGGAAATTCACTGCACTTGGATGTACTTGCACTTGTGTGTCGGGGAGTGGTGTATGGTGACCAGCCTGATAGGCAGCTCCTTCCAGGCCTGAGCACCAGGTGGAAAGCACCCTGGTTCTGCAATTCCCTTGGTTGTGTGAAAATCACCCATGTTGACTCTCTGCCAGGTCAAGGCCCAGATGAGGGCCATGGAAACCTCTGCCTCCCTTGGTCTCTCCTCCTTACCAACAGGCTTGGTGATGGCTGAGCACCATAACTGGGCACTCTGGTCTTTACACTGCAGGCTGAGCCTCCCTGGTCTTCTTGTTGAACCAATACATGAATGCATCAGCTCCTTCCCCTGGAAGCTGCAGGCCCAGTGAATTGCTGCCCTGAGAGGTCTCTGGGCCACCAGGTGAGTGTCGTGAGGGGTCTGAGGACTGTGGTTGTCCCACTGCCCCATCCTAGTACATGACCAAAGTTGACTGAGAGCCTGGTCACTTTCCCTTATGTTTTCCTGATGCCCACCCTCTTCAAGGAGCATAGCAATGGGAAAAACACCAACATTCAAAAGAGAAAAGCACATTCATATTTTCCCAAATGGAGTGGGATGAGGACGGGGCCACCTACAAAACGCCTCCTTGTGCCTCTGTAAAACGTAGGAACCCAGGGATGATTAGAGATGAGAGTGCAATTTGGACGACCTGAGAGATTCTGTAATGAACTGTGGCTGCTGATGGGTGACAGGTGTGCACGTGCCCTTGTGGAGGGGTGCTGGAGGGAAGTTCCTATGCACAGGTGGCTGAGATCTTACCAAGTGATGCTTACAATAGGCATTTGAACTCCATGTGCAAAATCCCTGGTCATGCTCAGTCTAATTGGAAAATCTGATAATGAGATGCGAGATAAGACGTCTCCACTTCAAGTATCTGTTCAATGAGACTGCATGAAATCAAAACCCCGTTCTGTTAGGCTGTGGTGGCTGAAAGAGTAATCTCTGTTTACAATTTGACCCCTTCCCTGGAAATGCCAGTGAGATGTGCCGCAGGGAGCATGGAGATCTGAGAACCCGAGGAATGAGGAAACCTCTGCTTTGCGTGGTGCTCCTGGGGTTCACCTGGATATTTAGCAAAACAGAGAGGTAATGCATGCATTCCAGAGTGAGGCCTGCCGTCTGGGTTAATGTCAAGCTGCCCGGTGATAGCAGGTGAAGCTACGAGTCTGCAACCCTGCAATGATCAGAGCAGGGATGCTGGTGATGACTGCCTGCTATTTGACAAACCCTGTGGGGGGGGATGCAGAGATATTGGTAGGGGTCCCTGTTTGTGCCCCTGGTGAGTAGGGTAGGAGCTAGGCACAGACTTCATTACCTTCCTGGAGCTCCTACTGCTGGAGCCTTCAGAGTCTGGGTTGGGTCCTGGGGAGTCCAGCACAATGGGTCCACCCAGGGAGGATGACGGAGTTGATGGAGTTGGCATGTGCAGCACAGGGTTTCCGGGCCAGTCCCTGCTGCTGTTACCCTGACCATGTTGTCTGGGGGAATGCAGAGCCCTCACCACCCTGGGGGAGCGTGTGGGGCTGAACGAAGCTGCCAGTGCAGGATTCTGTGTGTGGGGAAATGCTCGCATCATTGTTAAGTGTGAGGTGGGTGCATGGTACTGGCCTTTCCAGGGAGGCTCAGACCACGTAGACCCCCCAGGAGTAGGGTGGCAGTGAGTGTGGTGCAGTAGCCTTTAAGTGGATGTTGCTCTTTTTCTATGGAGCATGGAACTTGGATGTTCGAGATGCCTCTGTGATAGAAGGTATGACCAATTCAATCAGTAGCCTTTGAGCAAAGCAGATGTGCCTCCGTGATGTGGTGGGCCTCAGACAGAAAGGGCAAAAGTCTTAAAAACAAAGACTGAGGTCCAGCAGCGGGGAGGCTTTGCAGTAGTGTACTGAGGACCCGAAATGTGCCACCCATGCCTCCGTGTGTGCCCACCCTGTGCCCTGAGCCCATACCTTCACAGAAGTCTGTTCTCTCTACACAGCACCCTGGTTCTGGTTCTTGAGTGAATGCTGACTACTTTAAGCCTGTTGTTCGCTATCCTTGGTGACACAGGATGAAGTTTCCACAGGCCCCCTAGACAAAACTAGAAAACCTGCCTGCCCCAGGTCCCTGAGGGTAGAAGAGGTGAGATAGGCCTCCTGTTGTTCCAGGATGCCCCGTGAGGGTGAGGTTTGGGGTGCAGTGGGGTCCCTGCAGCTACGGGTGCTTCTGCACACCTGGTGCATGGAGTGTGAGGTGCAGTCACGTGCCTTAGATGCTGAGACTGCTCATCCAGAAAGGGAGGAACTGGGATACAGCTCACAGTGTTGGGGAACCTCTCAGAAGAAGGTGATTCAAGTTCATCAGCCACACCATGCACATGAGGCGGTGGAGCTCTGAGCCATGGAAGCTGTCACCTGTGTGGTGTTCCTATGATCATTGTTGGCACCACCTGGGCAGAGGGTGCTTCACCCCAGACTGTACTGAGTGGGAGGGTGTAAGCTCAGGGCTGGGTGCCCATGGGTGGACCCAGGCTGAGCATGGTGGGAAGTTGTGTTGGGCACTCCATGAGACATCCTTGGTGCTCCCCAAGGTGTGACACTGATGGAGCATTTGAGGTTCTCTCTCTGTGTGTGTGTGTGTGTGTGTGTGTGTGTGTGTGTTGGGAGATGCTTTGTACTGCTGTTCAGTTCACATTGTAGTGTTGCATGTCCTGTGTGATGCCTTTTTGCTTTTTTACAAATCCTCTTGGGTTAGTGAGGTACTGAGCACAGGACAGGGCATCCTCACTGGTGTCAGGCTGCACATGGCCAGGGGCAAGATCTCAGTGTAAAGTACTTCAGGGGTTGCTGTTCTTCTGCCCTGCAGAGCACCCTGTGATTGGCAGGCAGGGAGAGCCCAGCGCTGGGGGTCAGGCACGTATTTCTGTACTGTCCGTATCAAGGTCCTGAATGAAGTATTCAGCTTGTAATTGTGACTCCATGCAACAGAGGCCAAAGAGATGCCAGCCCTTTTCCTTAAGCATTAGAGACTGAACAGAGGAAAGAGATAAATGCTCAGGTTCTTTGACCACTGCAGTTGTCCCCCTTGGAAGAATGCAGAATGTTGAAACCACTTTGGGATTCCCATCTCATCTCAACTAAGGTCGAAGCTAGGGAAGGAATGGGCGAGGGAGTGAACTCTGAAGTCCTGCAGAGGGAGAAGCTATTGGCAACCTTGCTTTGAATGTCCTGCAGAGCCCAACCAATGTGCTCTGGTAGAGTTCTATACATGTGTGCAATGGACTCAACAGACCCCTGTTCCAAGAGGAAGTTCATTGTCCTTTCTTCTCTTCTGTCCAGGGGTTTGCTGTTACCTGTAGAAGACACTGGCTTTCCCCAGAACAGATGTCCTGAAAGACAAGCTTGCCTCCCCAGGGAAAATGTTCCATTCAGGAGCGTGTGTGTCTCGGGATGCTTCTTGTTTGCATCACTCTCGAGTTTGTGAATT